TTTGTATTATATGTAAATCATTGATGAATTTTAAAAGAATCAAACCATATAAATAATTATTATTTCAAGTATCACTGTTGATAAGACAGTGCAATAGCTCTAAAGCGAAACAATGACACTAAAAATTAACTAACACGGCTAAAAGCTGCTAAACAATACAACTAGGAGTGTAAAACTACACTAAGAAACATGCTACAAGGAAAGAAGAAAGAAACATTCTTCAAGGAAGAACAAGCATGACAAATAGCCCGTGACTCGTGTCAAGAGTCATATGATACGAAATAAGAGACAACAACAAAAGCTGAAAGGTTGTGATCTACAATGTCGCACAAAAAAGTGGCAAAACTATTAGCATAAAACTAAGCGAAAGGAATAACGACTTCGTTCAGACGAATTATACTTTGTTTGGAGCAACACTATGAGAAGTATGAATGGTTTTACTGAAGCATTTTCTTTTGTCTGTGTCTTAGTTTTCTAAATTTCAGTGACTGGAAAACTTTTTTTGATGGTACTTTGGATGGATCTCGATTTCTTACTCTTTGAGTCACTAGTTTTGAACATGCATGAACGAGAAATGATTCTGTCGCCGCACGGCGAAGATAGAGGTTCAGCTGCACTAAACACTTGGTTGCGCTTCGATGAGTCATATATGTTCTGGAAAACTGGAAACTAAATTCTTTGCTAACAAGTTCTCCATAAATGCGAGGACAGCTGCTCTTCATCGTAAGGTTTTGAAAAAAGAACTCATCTTCCAGTCGACTGCATCAAACGACTTGGCAGCTTTAAGAGCACATGGCAAATCAAAGATTTCTTGTGTGATCAGGCGCTAATTCCGACTAACAGTCAAGGCCATTCGAAGCTATCCTCGACAAATGTTGAACAACCGACAATGTTCCATACAAAAAGGGGGCTAAGATCGGGGAATATCGGGGATCGAAATTGGTACAGTTCATTGTGGGTTCGGATTCTATTGTTACTCTCACCCAGTGCAATAGCATTGTGGCCTTCTGCCTCAGAGAGGCAGTAAGCCACAAAAATACATTAAAGTAGTCTGCCCTGAGGGTTTTACAGTAAAAAAGAAGCCAATTTGTTAGAGAAAAAATGAATTTCTTTATTGAAACTGTTCAGTAAAGTCCATTGTGGTGTTTAGTGCCTAAATATTTAGCAAAACTGAAAATGGATGGAACCAGTTTTCTGTTGATGCCCTAGCGCCCCTTTTATGTCGTAGGGGACTTCAGCAGTCGACAATTCAAACATTGCACACCGGCGGCCATTTTTAGTGAGAAAATTACCATTTTGGAATTACAAGGTTTGAGAACAATGTGAAGGAAATCTTAATTTCCCTTAATGTGTCTATGTTTAGTTGATTCTTACAAACTAAGACGACCCCTTGCATGTTTTCTTGGTCTGCCACGAACACTTCCCCTGATAACATCAGTCTTGTCTGTTTTGGTCAAAATAAGTAATTTTCCAGTGTGTGAAATCTTTGGAAACCAGGTGCGTCCACGGGTTGTTCCGCGAGTTGTTCCGCGGGGGCCTCGACCACGAACTGCTGTTGGTCTCTTTGCAGCGGGGGGCACATTGGTTGCCGATGTGCCTCCTTGGTTAGTAGTGAGGCCGAAGCTGGCCCAAATGTTGGTGCTCGACTTGCCCCTCTTTCGTGAAACTGGGGTCTTTCCTTTCTGGGCCTGCGATAGGGTTCCCGGTTCGTGGTACGGCTCGGGGTCGGGTTGCGTGATGAATAACGCGTGTTCAGCAGAGGACTCCGGGGTATTGTAGGCGTCCTCGTTGTCCTTCGTCATAGTGGTCATTTAGGACGTTTCTCCTAGGTCTGCGACGGCTTGGACCTGTTAGAGTCTCTTCGCCTTCATAATCGTAGCCGTAGTTGTGGTCGCCCTCATCCGGGTCTTCTCCTGGTTGTTCCGGCACGTCCCAAAAGGGAGCGCCTTGGCGCGTTTTGCGGTTAGGGGCGCGTTGCGTTAAAAATGTCCCAGATATTAGCACCCTGTTAATCTTCTGGGATGATTTCGTTGTGGGTGAGAGTTTGGGACGTGACATACGCGACCATTAACTCCCTTAAGGAGTTCTGCTTGAAGGCTTGCACTTCCGGAGACTCCCAATGTTTCTTGGCAAATTCAGCCGGGTGGCTGAATAGGGTCTCGAGTGTCATAATGTGGGTGGCGATCGAGTACATGGCCCCGGAAGCCGCGGAGAGGTGCTTTGATAGGGTCTGCAATGTGTCGTCTTTGATAAACTTCATAAGCGTGGCCAGGTCTCTATCATTGGGCTCTTCCCGTGTTGGCGGAGTCTTTCTTGTTGAATCGTTGTAGAACGTCCCTGATTGGCCTCGCCTTATTGATTAACATGTCTACCACATGTCGGGTGAAGACTTTATCGCGGTATTTGGCTGAAGTTGCCATATTGGAATATAATGTATCCGCTAATTCGCTTATTACGTAATTTGGCCTGGTTAGCCATTCACAGTTCCAGTGGAATAATT